TGATACACCTTTTGCCACTTTAGCACTCATAATGTCCTTTTTCTTGGCAAGTATAGTGCATTCCGTTGACGTGGATTTATTGTACTGCCTACAAAGTTCAACAACACGTGTACCATTTTCATGCTTCCGTATGATCTCTTGTTTTTCCTTTAGTGTCATCCTCACATGCAATTTCTTGGCTTGAACCTTACCACTAGCTTTCTTGGGACCCATTGCGAGATATATTAAAAGAACTTTTATGCTCAAATGGCCAAATATTCGACAAAAAACTGTAAATCCTTGTGAAGAATTCAGGCAGGATAGTCACTGGGCGCGAGGTACTGGTAAACTGAGGCGCGATCGCCGTGCCACCACGCGCTAGGTCGGCCTGTACGTGTATCAACAAACTCGTTAGCCGATGCAATGCTCATATTTCGATGCAAATTTTCCAACCAATTCGGGCTCGTAACCCGAAAAACTCGTAAACAGGGACACTCGTAACCCAGGGTTCCACTGTACTGTACAGTGAGACCTCGGCTTACAAATGCCTATATTTACTAATTTTTCGGATTACAAGCTTAACAGTGCCTCCTGCGTAGTGATGATAGCGCTTTAATTATTTGTAAAGAATTTAATTGTTTTTCAGCTTTTTTGGTTTTTAAACATAAAAGTAATTATTATATACCATGCCATGGGTTCCAATAAAGTCAATGGTAAGGTTCAACCTATGAAAACACATGTCCTCGGTTTAAGAGTTTAATCCATTTCTGGAGACAGCTTGTAACCCGAAAACTCGTAAACCGAAGCTAATTTCCCCATAATAAATAATGGGAAATGAATTAATCCATTCCTGACTACTCAAAAACCTCACTTCAAACTAAATTTTATACCTAATTCATCAAAATCTACACTGCAAAAGAATGTTCAATTTATTACTTACCCTTGCTGATGACTGCTGTTGGCGTATGGAAGATGGTGAGGAGGGGGGAGGAGGAGGAGGTGTTACTGTTTGGAAGGGAAGTCTCCTTCCATTATAATATCAGGCGGTGAGGACCTCTCTGGGGTGCACACTCTGGCACGTTTTGCCTGCATACCACTAGGTCCTGGTTGTGGCTCAATGCTTGATTTTTTCACAACGAAACAATCCATTGAAGATTGTTTTTCCCTTCTTCGCAACATTTGTCTGTAGTGAGGCATCACATTGTCATTGAAAAGATTAATGCAACGGCCTACAACAGCTTTCTCTGAGCGAGTTGTTTCAATAAAAGTTTGCATTTCTTCCCACATCTGACACCACTTCCTAATGGTTGCAGAAGGGATATCCTCTTCTGCCTATCCTCCTCCACTGGAGAAATATCCTCAGCTGCCTCTTCTTGCTGCTCCTTTTGAAGGGCTTGGAGTTCTTCGGTGGTCAGTTCTTAGTTGTGTTCTGCTCCCAACTCCTCCACATCAGCATCATCCAATTCCAAGCTCATTCTTCGGCCCAGAGTAACAATTTCCTCAACAATAGGCACTTCATTTACAGGCTCAAACCCCTTAAAGTCTAGTTCTGGAATACATTCAGGCCACAGTTTTCTCCAGCCAGAGACCAGGGTTCTTTGAGTCACTTCTTGCCAGGTTTTGTCAATGAGTTTTAAAGCAATACAAAAATTAAAATGGTGTTTCCAGAACTCTTTGAGGGTGACGTTTGTGGCTTCAGTCACTGCAAAATATTTCCGGAAAAGTGCCCTTTCATATAGTTTCTTAAAATTCGCTATGATTTTCTGGTCCATAGGCTGAATTAGAGTGGTGGTGTTAGGGGGAAGGAATTTTACTGTGAGAAAATAACTATCTGTTCAACAATGCATCTTCCAAGCCTGGAGGATGAGCAGGAGCATTGTCGAGGAGAAGCATGGCCTTGAGTGGCAAATTGTTCTCCTGCAGATATTTTTGTATGGCAGGGCACACCACATCATTCACCCACTCCATAAAAAAAATCCTAGTCACCCATGCCTTATTATTAGCCCTCCACATCACATACATTTGGTTTTTCTGCACACCATACTTTTTGAAAACCCTTGGATTTTCAGAATGATGCACAAACAAGTTTAATTTTCAAATCGCCACTCGCATTTCCACACAGCACAAGCGTAAACCTATCTTTCATAGGCTTGTGTTCGGACAATGATTTCTCCTCCTTGGTAATGTATGTCCTCTTAGGCAATCTTTTTCCAGAACAGTCCTGTCTCATCACAATTAAACACTTGTTGCAGTAAATATCCCTCAGCCTCTACAAACTCTTTAAATTCTTCAATAAATCTTTCAGCCGCTTGTTTGTCTTGGCAGCCTCCCCATGCCTCACAACACTATGAATACCACGCCTTTTTTTAAAATTTCTCAAACCATCCCCTGCTTGCGTTAAAGTCTATCGTATCTGCACTTGTTCCAGGAGTTTTCTTTACAAGGTCTTCGTGCAATACCCTGGCTTTCTCACAAATGATGGCCTCTGAAACACTATCACTTGCTGCAGGCGATGAGTCACAATAACGTGGCTGAAGTATGTTGACCAGACCACACACTAGAAATTGAAGGGACGACGACGTTTCGGTCCGTCCTGGACCATTCTCAAGTCGATTGAGAATGGTCCAGGACGGACCGAAACGTCGTCGTCCCTTCAATTTCTAGTGTGTGGTCTGGTCAACACTATCACTTGCTAATGCCTTGTTGTGTATGCAAATTAATAACAACTTTTCTACATCCTCAAGTATCTGTGGTCTTTGTTTCGTGATTGCTGATACACCTTTTGCCACTTTAGCACTCATAATGTCCTTTTTCTTGGCAAGTATAGTGCATTCCGTTGACGTGGATTTATTGTACTGCCTACAAAGTTCAACAACACGTGTACCATTTTCATGCTTCCGTATGATCTCTTGTTTTTCCTTTAGTGTCATCCTCACATGCAATTTCTTGGCTTGAACCTTACCACTAGCTTTCTTGGGACCCATTGCGAGATATATTAAAAGAACTTTTATGCTCAAATGGCCAAATATTCGACAAAAAACTGTAAATCCTTGTGAAGAATTCAGGCAGGATAGTCACTGGGCGCGAGGTACTGGTAAACTGAGGCGCGATCGCCGTGCCACCACGCGCTAGGTCGGCCTGTACGTGTATCAACAAACTCGTTAGCCGATGCAATGCTCGTATTTCGATGCAAATTTTCCAACCAATTCGGGCTCGTAACCCGAAAAACTCGTAAACAGGGACACTCGTAACCCAGGGTTCCACTGTACTGTACAGTGAGACCTCTGCTTACAAATGCCTATATTTACTAATTTTTCAGATTACAAGCTTAACAGTGCCTCCTGCGTAGTGATGATAGCGCTTTAATTATTTGTAAAGAATTTAATTGTTTTTCAGCTTTTTTGGTTTTTAAACATAAAAGTAATTATTATATACCATGCCATGGGTTCCAATGAAGTCAATGGTAAGGTTCAACCTATGAAAACACATGTGTGGATGGCCATTGAGGAAAAACAAGTCTCTATGGAAAGATTCTTAGTGTGACAAATAATCAGTGAGCCATAGCCAGGTCCTAGTGGTATGCAGGCAAAACGTAGGAGAGAGAGTACCCCAGAGAAGTCATCACTGCCTGATGTTATAATGGAAGGAGATTTCCCTTCCAAACACTGACACCTCACCCCCCTTCCTCCTCACTGTCTTCCATACGCTATCAAGAGTCATCAATAAAGTTAAGCTATAACTTGTATATACTACAGTACAAAACATTTGTGTTTATTAGGTATGATATGTATTTTAAAGTTAATATTTTTGGGAGTGTGGAATGGATTAATTCAATTTACATTATTTCTTATGGGAAAAATCGTTTCGGGTTACAAATTTTAGGGTTACAAGCAGTCTCTGGGAATGGATTAAATTAGCAAACGAAGGTACCATTGTACTGTACTGTATTTTTTTGTTTTTACGTTTTTCTTACATTTTACAGACGAGTAATTTCATAAGAAAAAAAAATATTTTTTGGAATTTTTAAATTTATTCAGACAGGAATGACCATTTTCAATAGCCGCTCTCTAAGAGTTAAAATAAATCATGTGTGATTTTTATGCCATCATATTCTACCTGCCTTTGTTGCTAGTAATGATTTACCTTGTTATAATGCACTGTAGGAAAATCTCTCAAATTTAACAAACTAATATTTTAAAAACAATACATTAATTTAATATTTATGATCCATCTACAGTACATGTAATAAAAATGATACTGTAATGTCATACTGCTCTTGTGAATGGCCTTTATATATAAGTTTGACTTAAATGTGAAAGCCCACACCAAATAATAACAATTAAGAACTGTGGTTTGTGGTGAATAAAGGCAATGTAATATTTTAAATGAAGAAAAGGGACAACAAACTGCCTAAGGGCTATAATTTGTCTGAACGTCAGGATTATGTTATCTTGTTTTGTATGCAGTGACACGTGCAATTTGGAGGGAATTGCCAGTTTAATTTCTAATCTGATTTTCACGTGTGGTGTCACGGCAGAAGTACCTTATCAGGGCAGAAAGTGGACACAAAGGAGTATTTCCAATGTCCAAGTTATTTGTATAGGAATTAATATATACAAAAATCTCTTGCACAAAAGGTAAAATAGAAGAATCTGAAATTATAATATTTGTTAATCCTACTATTGCTTATACTGATTGTAATTAAAGCATTATTGAGAACAACTGTTTCCATATTGTCAAAACCTTGTCAATGGCAAGTAATGATTGTTAAGGGTGGTGGGAAGGCAGTTAGAACCCTGTAAGGTAAAGATCTTATAGGCATCAGTTTTTAATAGCTACAGCCCCAAGGAGAGCACATGAGGAAACTAGATGCTAGAAATGTTATATGAAAATAAACTGATGCATAAGTGCTCTATTAAACTTTCAAGCATTACATTTTAAAAATATAATATTCCTACATTAAAATAATATGATACATATGTACAGGGACTGTACTTTGAAAGTTAAATAAATAAGAAGCAAAAGATTTCACAATTTTACTATTATATTTTGTTTAAGTTGAAAATAAAAAACACAATACAGATGAAATTACAAAACACTGAGATGTTGCTAAAAATTCTATAGTACTATATATAACTGAGCACCCACAGATGAATATTTTCATTTATAAGCTATTAATATCTTCTAACACCAGTTATAAAGGCATAAAGAACAAATGTGAAATCAAATACATGCTCACTAATCCTATTTCTGAACTACATTTAATTTCTCATTATCAATGTATTAAGATATTAACAAAAAAAAGTACCTGCATACATTAATACAGTACTTAGTATTAACTTATTTATAAAAACTAGCTTTGAGATATGACAAGCAGCACTGAAGATTTAAGTTTTAATCAATATTTAAATGTAAATATTCTAAACCATGTCAGATTTATAGTAGCATATGAAACTATTTCAAAATCTTGCTGCAGTCAAAATTGTATCAGAATATAGCAAGACTACTACTGTATTTCAACAAATTATTTGGAACTAGTCTAAAGCACAATCTATATACATTAGTAACTTCCCTCTTCACGTGAAAACATCTATTCAAGCATATTACATGGGAGAGCCCCGCGGAAAAGCTCCCGGGCGGGACCTTCTAGCACGTTGGGGACCTCCACGCAGTAGAGATGGTGCATGCATCATAGGATTAATATTAAACCCTCTTCCACCTAGGTTTGTGTTTCGCTGAAATCCCCTTCCTCCACGGCTCGTATGAAAGCCACGACCTAGGATAGAGGTAAATGCCATTACTGACATTTAGAACCTGATATTTAAAAATAAAATAAATATTTAGAACCATTACTGAGAAGAACTTAGATATTTTAAATTTGTATCAAGACTGCTAACCTCAATATTCAGATATTTTTCCAATACAGTACTGAAGTATGTTACTGTTTCCACTGAAAATATTTAGTAATTGTTACTACATGAAAATTGAACCAAACTGGATTCGAACCCCCACCATCCAGGATCACCCCTTGGCATAAAGAGTACCATAAACACTAGACCAATGAACAGACAATCATTGGTCTAATGGTCATGGTACTCTGTACGCATCAGGTGATCCTGGGTGATGAGGGTTCGAATCCTGTTTGGGTCAGAATACCTAATTCAATGAGATGAATTCTGAAATATAGCACTTTTTTCTTTACATTGGTGGGTGTACAACAGAAACAGATGACCTCTGACTCCTGTTAACAGGCTTAGAGCTTTCATTTCCCATAGCCAATGGTAATCTTTATTCACTAGTTTTTCATGGAAAATGACCTGCCATTTGCTTTACCATAGGTACTGAATTACTTCTGAGTAAACAGAGGCAAACAGTTTAGGATTGGTGACTAGTCAATCCTCTGCGGCCATGACTCGAATCCAGACCAAATCGGTAGTGAGAATTATTATACTGTATAGCTTAACTATCGAGCATATACTATAGGAATTCTGATGGTATGTATATTCCAAATTTGTTATGACATCCTTTATTGCCAAGTTTAAATAAGTTACAAAGTAACTTAATATTTAAAGGTATTCAAAAGCTATCATACAGAAACCACTGAGAAAAGAATGGAAATAAATAATCTGGCAAACACCAGCATTGAATGTAATGAAATGCCAATTTCTGGGTATCTTCTTGAGGTTATCTTGAGATGATTTCGGGGCTTTAGTGTCCCCGTGGCCCGGTCCTCGACCAGGCCTCCACCCCCCAGGAAGCAGCCCGTGACAGCTGACTAACACCCAGGTACCTATTTTACTGCTAGGTAACAGAGGCATAGGGTGAAAGAAACTCTGCCCATTGTTTCTTGCCGGCGCCCGGGATCGAACCCGGGACCACAGGATCACAAGTCCAGTGTGCTGTCCGCTCGGTCGACCGGCTCCCTAAAGTAAGCCCGAGCTTACTCCGTGAAATGACAATGCTGATCTAGTGCCAAACTAATAGGTGCCATCAGCTGAGTGTGCCCACAGGCCCCATGTATCCATAACAGCCTGGTTGGTGCAGTACTTCTTGAATAAATTTTTTTTTCGGGAAATATTTCTTATGCTTGTTGGGAGGATGTTGAGCAACCGTGAACTACTGTATGTTCATGCAGTGTTCTCTGATTGTGCCTATGGCACCTCTGTTCTTCACTGGCTCTATTCAACATTTCCATCCATATTATTCACTTCAGTATGTGGTTATTTTACTGTGTAAATTTGGGACCTGGACCTCCAGTATTTTCCATGTATATATATTATTAGGTCCCTCTCTTGTCTCCTTTCTAAAGAGTACATTTGAAGAGCTCTGAGATGATCCCAATAGTTTAGGTGTATTATTGTATCTATGTACTGTATGCTGAATATGTTCTCTGTATTCCCTCTATTTCAACAATCTCTCCTGCTCTGAAGGGAAAGTGAGTATCGAGCAGTACTCAAGTACGGGACAGCACAAGTGATTTGAATAGTACGATTTGATTTTGTTAGGTCAGATATTGGTCTAGGACAACCTCAATAAGCCAAATACCTAATACCCCGACAATGGGAAACGATAAGTTGTTCAAAGCTTCACTTCAGCAAGCAGAGTATGAGGGATCCTTCAATTAGCTGGCCTATAAAGAAATTCCTATTGGTAAGTGTACGCACATCTCCTGTGCCAGGTGAGTACGACAGGCTCACCATAGCCCATGCAGCTTGGAACTTTTTGTTCCAATTGGCTGAATCTAAAACAACAACAAACAACGATAATTGTCATGGCCAACAATAACCTATTTATAGTACTGTATGTACTTTAGATGTTAAACATATTGACTGCAATCTTAGTAGCTATTCTAAAACAAAAAATCTGGACCACAAAAGAGCCTCCTAAACACCTTTTAAGGCAGGCAAAATTTTTTACAACTTACCCCGGTGAATTCTCTGAGGTGAATCATCCCAAGTAATGGGTGTAATTCTACGCTGCTGTGATGAGGATGGTAAAGAACTTGGTGTGGAAGAAGGTACACTGGAAACATCTTGAACTGGTTGGCTGCTACTTTCATCACCAACTCTTTCCTCTGCTTCACCTGCTTGTTGGTCAGCTTCTGCTTCTTCTCCTTCATCCTCTTCCTCCAAATCAATCACTGCAAATTACCAAACTTATGTGCTTTCTAATTAAACAAAATAATGAGCTACTTTAATTACCCAAATAGTGACTACCTAGAGATGATTCTGTGGATCACCACCATCAAACCCTAGACTATATTTTACTGAAATTAACAGTTAGACATGAATTTATGCAGAGCAAAAAATAATGATAAGCAAAAGAGGTAATGAAAAATAAACAAGAGTGGCAAGAGTAACCAGATCAAGAGAGAAGGTTGTAAATTTGTGTGTAGCTGAACATGAAAACAAATTTTGAAAAAATATACAGTATTTGCTTATTATTAACTTGGAATATCATAAATATTAGTACTAAGGTATTGTTACCGTTATTAATATTATAATTATCATCAGATCCACTGACCAGGGTCGGAAATGTAAAGTGGGTCTCTGTATACGAGCCTGGCCTCAGGCCGGGCTCAGGGAGTAGAACAACTCGCAAGACCCTCTCTAGGTATATGTTTTTGGTTCCCTTCACCAGCAAACCTTTTGCTACTACCTCCACCACTTGTAATCTGGCTTACACTTTCTCACTGTGTACTAATTTTGTCCTCATTTTTAGGTTCTGTTTTTTTTTCATATATATGTGCTTTTCTGTCTGTCTATTTCAAAAAACCAGCGTTGAATGTAATGAAACGCCATTTTCTGGGTGAGTCCCGGAGGCTCCCCGGAGCTATCCCAGGCTGATATGCTAATGTCAGACTTTGGCATCAGTCATGTGTATGGAGTTCTTAGGCCTACCGGGGACCACGGCCAGAACCGGGCCCCCTCAGAGAGGCAAGGGGAGCAATGGCCTATAGAAGCCCCCGTGTAGTTGGAAGCATTCTATGTCTGCCATCGACCGGAACAGGCACCCAGAAAGGTAAGCGCCCCAAAACAAACCCCTATTCTGGTTAAAATTGCTACCTAATACCGAACTAGTGGATAGAACTCCCCAACCGAAAACAAGCAAATTAGTGTGACGTCACACACTGCCGCGCCGCTGTCTGCGCAGCTCCCCCCTCCCCGGGAGGGGGAAGGGGGAGCCCCAGACCCCCCGCGCCGGCTACCCACACCTCAGTTCTTGAGGCTGGATGTCAAAAACGCGAAAAACCGCCGACCAGAGGGAGGGAGGGATGCCGGGGAGCCTCCGGGACTCACCCAGAAAATGGCGTTTCATTACATTCAACGCTGGTTTTCTGGGGGGAGCCCCGTCGGCTCCCCGGAGCTAACTACTCACAGACAGAAAAAGAGGGACTTACCCGGGAGGCGGTCGTCGCTCACCCCTCAACTCGAAGCCGAGACAACTGGCTGCAACCGCCGACCCAAAGCAACGCAGGCCCGACGAGGGCCAGGGACATTCACAAGGTAACGAGCAGCCAGGACCCTGTTCGACCGCCAAAATCCCCGCGCCCGAATATCAGACCAAGACATATTCCCAAAGACGGCAGCAAGAGCCGCGAACTTACGAACGTCATGGGCACGGGGATAGACCGCAGGCTGGCTAGACCTAATAACCCTGCGGACGACCTGAGAGACCCGAACCCGCGAATAGAAGGGGAAGGACGAGGAGGTGCGGACTGAACCAGGATCGAAGCGACCCCCACCCCCAAGTCCGGGTCTCGAAAAGCAAAGCGGGGCAGCCCCGGGGCATCCGGGGAAGCAACCAACCGAGCGCGTTGCAACAGACGAAACCTAGACTGCAACGCACGTGCCGCCTGTACCCGAAGAGAATCATCAGAGGATTGGGTAAATTGAGTCACAAGCAAGCAGCAACACTCACAGGACTCAGGGTCGAAAGTATCACCGACCCAACAGGCAGCGTGGCAGAGGCAAAAACAATGAGGGTCACCCTGAGACAAGGGGACCGAGCAACCCTCAAACTCGCACACAGCGAGTGGGGACTCCGGGGTCACATCCATCGGACCCACGCGCCCCCTAGGGGATTCCCAGGGTCCTGAGCGTTTACTTTAAGAGGACTCGCGCTCAGGTAGTCCCAGGCAGGGTGCTGCAAACCGGCGCCCAAAACTACCAAGCAAACTTCTAAAGCTGAACCCCAGGGACGTGTACACTCACGGGGACCTAGCAGGGGGCGCCACCGAGGAGAACAGTGGAAGGGCAAAAACAAACTGAATAAAATGACAGAACCCCCCACCAGGCAAAAACAAAAAGAAAAACAAAACCCCGCAAGAGGACAGCGAACCCCAAGGAACAGAGCCGGCCGCGATGTCGGGAATTACAAGCTGAGCAGCACCCTGCGCCCCTACCAGTGCAAACTGCCTCTTACCTGCCGGTAACAAGGGAGAACAGAACACCCAAGAGCCCAACAGGCGGCCGAAAAACCGAAAGGTAAAACGGACCAGCAGAGGCAGACCCCGAGGAGCCTGTGGAAGGTGGCCCCAAGCCCCAAGGGCAGTACTTACAGGGCACCTAGGGAAGGCAGCCCTAGGCGCATGCAGCCCGAGTACTGAAGATACTCCTGGCTCTCGCACCCACAAAACTAACACCACACTCAAAGCACAGTGCAGTAGCGACACCGGAGCCAGAGCACACGACCACCGCCAATAGCATCAGCCTCAAGAACTGAGGTGTGGGTAGCCGGCGCGGGGGGTCTGGGGCTCCCCCTTCCCCCTCCCGGGGAGGGGGGAGCTGCGCAGACAGCGGCGCGGCAGTGTGTGACGTCACACTAATTTGCTTGTTTTCGGTTGGGGAGTTCTATCCACTAGTTCGGTATTAGGTAGCAATTTTAACCAGAATAGGGGTTTGTTTTGGGGCGCTTACCTTTCTGGGTGCCTGTTCCGGTCGATGGCAGACATAGAATGCTTCCAACTACACGGGGGCTTCTATAGGCCATTGCTCCCCTTGCCTCTCTGAGGGGGCCCGGTTCTGGCCGTGGTCCCCGGTAGGCCTAAGAACTCCATACACATGACTGATGCCAAAGTCTGACATTAGCATATCAGCCTGGGATAGCTCCGGGGAGCCGACGGGGCTCCCCCCAGAAATGTTATCAATAATACTGTACTGTAATACAACAGTGCTGTGACCTAATTTCCTGCAAGTTTTGATAAAATTATCTTACATCTCACTTGTATCCCCATACAGTGATTTTCTGTTTACAAAACGCTCTTTCTTTTCACATTATCTTGTTTTTTAATGCAAATAAAATGAAAATGCCTTTATGCGTGACTGCCAAACCAGCATTTGATGCCACTTAACATGACTAAAGGTAAGAAATTGTTCTACAAGAGGCAATAACCTCAATGCATAAAAAATAATGCATTATTGCTATAGTATCACAGCAAATTTTAGCATATTTATGATTTCCCATTTATCAAACCACTAATTGGAAACGACCTCCAGTCAGTCAGTCTAAAGATTTTCTGGTCTACTTCTGTTGTACAATTGCTGGTTGGAAAATAGACCTTGTTTTTCGCTATGATCTGTTTATCCAACTGGTGGTTGTATAATCAGGAGACTTAATTTGAACCAGTCACCAGTCAGTTAATCTAAAGGTTCACATAATTGAGGGATGGATATCTAGAAGATTGCTATATTTTGCGATTTCAGTGTTACACACCATCTCAAAAATTATTTTGTATATAATGGCAAATGCAGTACATTACAAAAATTATCATAAAAAGTTATACAAAATTATATTTTTTACTTACTGTGCTAAGCGTAGATATTGGCAACTTCGTGTGCTTGTTGTAAAGATATCATACTTGAGCATTATGTATTAGACTCAATTATAAATACAACAGAGGCAGCCAGCAATTTGTGTGATACTGGATTACACAGACTCAAAGTTATATGGTAAAGCACATTTATATCAAGCACCTGCGTGAATTTCAATACTGTGTGCTGGTTGGGAATAAGTTAACTTGGATAATCCATGCTGATCCTGGGATATATCTTATGTTTGTAAAATATTTGGTTCCCACACACCCTATACTTTTGTATTTCATGAACTTTTTGGGGTTACATTTCTGCATCATTGCATATACCAAACTTTATGGACTTCATTATTTACCTAATTTGTAGCAAATAAATGGAAACCATTAAATATTTACAATAAGAAGTATTTTATTGAGTTGAGAGTGGAAAAGTCAACTTTAGGAAGATTTTGGAAAGTTTGATTTGTGCAGTTGTTCATCGAGGTGATTTTTTTTTTTTTTGCAGGAATGTATTTCCCCACATTAGTTGAGTGTTGCTCCTTAACATTAATGGTTTTATACTTTAAAGTTACTGCTATCTGACACCATGTACCCTATGTGTATCTTTGAAGCACAGCTGATGAGCTTTTTAATATTGTTGAAAATTCATGATGGCAAATAGACTCTAGAATAACACAAAGAAACTGATCATCTTAAGGGTGCTCACCTGTAATAGGTTGACAGATGTATTACCATCATGGCTAATACTTCATTAATATTATAAACTACAAATACCTGTATAGTATTTATACAGTAAAATAAAATATAAATTATATAGGCAAAAAATTAAGTTAAACCCAAAACCAAGATTCTTATTAGTCCATAGGATTACTTTTGTGCTAGACAAATGCCCAGATGCAATCCCGTTACCACATAATCTTGACCACCTAAAATCTAGACAGCAGAGCATAAAAAGCCAGATCTCTCTCCTCCATAACTATTGATAGGTAAGTACTAATAAGTACAGTATATGTAGGAACAAAGAATCTTTATCCACGTTTCAGGCCACAGCTGAAGGTTCTCCAAGAGGTTCTATCACCACCAAACTTTCAAACTTTCTTACCCCCTCTGCTTCCTCATAACTTTAATATACTGTTCCAATTCCCAAGGCATTGGTCATCTGCCTCTACCATATTTCATCTTTGAACACTACTTAACAATTCTCAGTATTTTATTAACATTTACATTCTGCCTCAGTGTATTGTGTGTGCTTCACTCTCTCCATTAACTCTGTTCATGTCTGTGAGTGAAGCACAAACATTAACAGAGTTAATGTTACAATTTCCAAT